AGGGATAAACATTAACAAATTACAACTTTGGGTGTGCGAGGGGGGAATTCGAAATCCAACCCTTGGACTTGGAGTGCACTTATAACATAACTTATAACCATCAGACAAAAAAGGTCAGGTGCGATTGAGGTATAAATATTAAACAGCTTAAGTTAGAGAAATGCAATTTAGCAATTGAGGTATAAACGGTACAAGGTCGGAGGCGGTTTGCAGTGATGCTTAACTTGGTAGGCCTACAACGGACTTTACATGGTGGGTCTACAATATACAGTCATATATGGGCTGACTGCTAAGTACTTCTGCACCACTTTAGTCTTCTTGCTGTTACCAAGGAGGAGAAGGAAGCCTGACCCATTGGGCTGGGTTTTGCTTAGGGATGCAAAATATGCATTCACTTTCTATGTAGAGTAGGAAAGAATCAACTTCCAAAGATTTTAAAAAAAAAATTATTTATGGATAGGTCTCCTTGGATCACTTGTTATGCATTTCACGATTAATTCTTTCTTTAGTGATTTTAATTAAAGATGTATTTTCCATATCAATATGCTATATTTAAAAAAAATTAATTTTCTTAATTAAGTGCTTTGTCTGGCCCATGACTTAAACCATACATCTTACTTGTAACATTCCTCTTGCTTACTATTAGCTAATTTTCATTACCTTTTTTTCTTTTGAACAATTGTCATGCGGTCAGATTGAACCGTTACCTGGGGAGGGAGGGTGAACTTTAAAGTGGCAGAGGCCACTTGACCTTATATATGGGCCAAGTTCAACTAATTTTCATGACATACTATTTCATTAAGGACAATATCATATTTTCATACCTTGAATTGAGCCTTCTTTTTCTAGGCGGACTGAAAAACAAAAAGCTTTCCATACAAAAATGTATATTTTTGTCTAGACTGAACAAAAAAGTTAAGTTCAGTCTCTAAAATTGTTAAGTATTCTTAATAAATCTCTTTTTCATATTAATTCATTAAGGTTATATTATTTGTGAAAAATCAGGGTGTGTTGATAATTAAAATATTAAAAATGATAATAAAAAGATTTAAATATACTTAATGAATTAATATGTTAAGAAAATTCATTGAAGGTATTTCAACAACTCTACAAATAGTTATGATTTTTCACTTTTCTCTAGGCTATTATTATTATAGCAATCCAGATGTATACCCATGAAACTTTTAATATACTACAGAAAAAAAAAAGTGCTTGACATATGAATTTATTAAAATATATTTAATGAAATTTATTTTATTTTATTAATAATATTTTAATAGTTTTAGTATTTAGACTATATTTTTATTGTTCAATTCTACTTAAGGAAGTTAATATAGTATAGGTCTTTCGAAGATTTACCTAGAAACTCATATTTTAATTAATATTTTAAAAAATTAATTGTTTGACTAAAAGTTTTATTTATAAATCATATGTATAATATTGATCTAATATTTATAATTTTTTAATTAAAAAAACTGTATTAAATAACATATATTTAACAACATTAAGTTTTGTGTAATCAATAAATTGATTATGCATATTAGACCAAACTAAAAATTAACATGCATAACCGAAACTTTTAATTCAATCGTTAATTTTTAAAAATATTAATTACAAGTTAAATTTTTTAACAAATCCATAAAAAAAAAAAAAAAATTTAAAGAATGACCTGAAAAACTTCCAGCCAAAATCAGGAATCTCATAACGTACAATACCATCTAGAAAACATGAATATCATTAATCATTCCAATTTCTTGCGGTCTTGAAATCAGGCTTTAGCCACTTCCCACATAAATCTGCTCCATGCTACCAACCTTTTCAAAAGCCAGAAACTGTATTGCTCTTTTCTTAGAATTGGGAGTTAAAGCCTCTTTTGGTGGTGTTATTATCAAGGGACTTAAACCACCGAGGGTGAATTAATTAAATCGATATGGTGATGGAGCCACGTATAGACAGGGTGGGGCAGCCGCCGCCCTAGACTTTTGTAAAAAAATGTTTTAGTCCCAGATCTTATACATATTTTTTTATTTATTATCCTAACTTTTCTGTAATGTTTATGGCAATAAACACTATTAGCTCTTGTAGTTTTAGTGGTTAAATTCAATCTAAATGTAGAGGGTAATTACTAGTGAGTTCTCTAAAGATAACTTGTTAAACAAAAAAAATATTTTTTAATCTCTTAATTTGATGACAAAAAAAATTATAAATTTTTGACAAATTTCCTCCCTCCCTCCTTTGTTTCCTGGAAAAGCCCTAGATAGATGTTGAACCATTTTCTTTGTTTTTTAATTTGATCATAACTTCTTGTTTTCAATTTTAACTGGTTATAAAATATGATTTCTTTTCTCTCTCTTCTTTTTTTTTTTT